AGAGCGATAACATTTTATTCAGTAAAACTTTAAGGAAGCCCTTGTTCGTCGACAGCAAGCAGTGAGATAGATGTTGGCTCAGTTGCGACGTTTGCAGGGCAAAATCAGCAGCGTGGTCAAACTCAACAGCAGTCGCAGCAACCGCAACAGCAGCAACAATCTCAACAACAGCAACCTCAGCAACATATAGCTCAGCATCAACCGAGCACAATAATACTCACCACAGTTTCGCAGCATCAGCGGGTATCTAAGAGTGACTCATTTATTCTTTTTTATTGTGTTTTGCCATCAGTAGACGAGTTCTTGTTATTTTACTTGATAAGCGCAACTTTTTATTCTTTATTTTTGGTTTGTTTCAAAAGTTTTATCAAATAACTTCTATTTCAAGATAAATTATTTTTGCTCTTTTTAGCAGTCGCAAGCGCCTCCCCAGCAGTTTATTTTCCCAAAGAGTGAGCCTCAGCCAGGTGTTGGGCAGTCTGTCCAAACAGCAGATGGTAGTATTGTTACAGTAACGGCTAGGGGAACAGCGCCAATGGTTGGTTACGTTAAGAAAGATGTGTCTACCAAAAGTAAGTTAGCTTTTGAGCATTGTTCTCATAGTTATCACAGTGAATCTAATACTCTTAACATTGTATTATCTTTGTTTTTTTGCCCTCAAACTTATATTTTTCACTTTCTTAGCTAACATTTTTTACTCCGGTCAATAAAAACAGTTCCCTCTTCACTCCATTTGATGGCTACCTATCTTTTACACTGATATCTCGTATTTAAATTTTTTTGTTTTTACTGTGTTCAGTTAATACTGGTATATTATTTGATGGAATTTCTCAAAAATATTTACTCTTTTATTTGTTTGGTTTAACATCTTAGTCTTTAGAGTTTTTAACTGTAGTCGTATATATATATATATATATATATATATATATATATATATAGTGTAACGCCTTTCGTTCAATAAATTTTTACAGGTGATGGTTGTACTACCAACAGTAACACTTGGCTGATTGACCCGACCAGCATATACCAACATGGAACTCAGAAAATGTATGTTTTTTTGGAAATTTCTTCTGCACGTAGGCCGCAATTTTGTTCTTTGTTTTGTTTTTCTGATTATTTTTGATTGTCTCTTTGAAGAGTTTCAATACAGTTTTTTATCTGGACATTTTAGGTACCGGCTGGTAAATTTGGCGGAGGTTAGTGATGGTACAATAATGTCTTCGGGATTAGGGCCGTCTACCAGTGAGGTGAAGATTGGTAGCCCAACGCGTAAAAAAATGAGAGTGACGCTTAACACGCAAGGCCTGCCCAATGGACGTGGACAAATTGGTGACGATCTCATCATTGATGACGGGATTGCTCCAAAAACGGTCACTATTGAACAAAGTGAGCTTCAAATAACACTCTTGAAATTGGTTTCAAGACTAGCGTCTGTTCTTAAAATATGTGTACTTTTTTTTCACCGCCAACCTTGATAGATATCAAATCTTTCGGTTACTTTGCCGATTGTATAAAGTGCTTCCAGCAGGAATAAAACTCTCT